AAGGGACGGTTTGAGCCGGATTCGAAGAGTTTTAGTATATTGCTCGAAGGGTGGGGAAAGGAACCGAATCTTCCCAAAGCAAGAGAAGTTTTTGATGAGATGGTTTCTGCAGGGTGCAATCCGGACATTGTTACTTATGGTATTATGGTTGATATTCTTTGCAAGGCGGGAAGGGTTGATGAAGCTGTTGAGGTTGTCAAGGATATGGATGATAATAATTGCAAGCCGACATCGTTTATTTATAGTGTTCTTGTTCATACTTATGGAGTGGAGAATCGGATTGAGGATGCAATCGATACATTCATGGAGATGGAAAGGAATGGAATTGCGGCCGATGTTGTGGTTTATAATGCATTGATTGGTGCTTTTTGTAAGGCGAACAAGTTAAAAAATGTGTATAGGGTGTTAAGAGAGATGGAGAGTAATGATATTGCTCCGAATCCAAGGACCTGTAATGTTATCATGAGCAGTTTGATTAGCCAAGGAGAGACTGATAAAGCTTTTAGTGTGTTTCGCCGGATGATTAAGCTGTGTGAGCCTGATGCTGACACGTATACGATGCTGATAAAGATGTTTTGTGAGAAGAATGAAGTGGATATGGCTTTGAAAATATGGAGGTATATGAAGTCGAAACAGTTTGTCCCAAGCTTGCACACTTTTTCAGTGCTTATCAATGGACTGTGTCAAAAGGGAAATGTTGTGAAAGCTTGTATTTTGCTGGAAGAGATGATAGAGAAAGGAATTCGACCATCACGGATTACATTTGCGAAGTTAAGACAGTTACTTATAAAGGAAGGGAGAGAAGATGTGCTAAAGTTTCTGCATGAGAAAATAAATCTTCTAGTTAAGGAACCTTTGTATGATTAAACCATGGAAGGCGAAAAATCTACGAGCACTGGCTGTGTGTTTTAACTAAGATCTGCATCTTTGGAGGGATATTGGATTTTTAAAGGAGGTGAGTTGAAGACAAACAGAGGCCATGCACTCAAAGAGCTGGTGTGATAGAAGGCAAAAATGCACATGTAGAGAGTAGCATGACCATTGATATGTTTTTTTTATTGGGGAATTGCTCATTACACCTTTAGTGTTTCTTCCAAATCCTATAAATTTCTAAAATTATCTATTTTGCTTTGTCTGGATAGAAAAATCCAGAAGCACCCCAATCCCAATGCATTGACATCTATAGAACGAAAGAAAGAACAGGGACAAGGGCAGGAACGGAAAAGGAAGAAGAGCAAAGAGAGAATAGACACAGTCTAAGGGGAGGAAAGCAACTAGAAGGGTGTGGAGAATTTCCACGTGGTTAAAGGAATGAATGAGGATGCTGTTCTCTACTTGTTTATTGTTGATTTTCATTTTTCATTGTTCACCTTGCAAGAAAGCAAACTCCATCCATAACATTGTCATACTTTTTCTTCTTTTACTTGTATACATTACATATTGTAAGAAAGGGAATCATCTTCTGTTTTAAAATAAATTTAATACAATTTCATTGTTTTTTGAGTTTCAAGTTCTTGTCAGATTAGTATCAACATGATACAGTGTCAGCAACAATTGATACCAAGAAGAAAAATGCATAATTGAGTTTTTGCAGAGACAGCCAAGGCGTAAAGCAAGATGGTTAAGGTGGATTAGGAGGTGGGGAGGTTCTTATAAATATGTGATCCTGTAATTTTGGTCTCTCTAAAATTCATCGATTTTTCCTGTATGATAAGCTACACATTATCACAAAGAAAAAGTTATAGGTTCTACGTTCAGTTCATCGACCAAGAGATTGCGAAATTTCAAAAATCCTTCAATCTATTTTTCAGGAGAAAACAGATTTTCACGTTAGAAGAATCAATCAATTTAAGTTACAATGAATGCACGGTTATGGTTGATAATTTTGGCGCTCTCAGTTAACTCATTGCAATCTGAATCAAAGAGAATAGACTGTCTGTTATACGGAGATGAATTATTGTTAGGCGTTAGAGTTCTTGACAAATCGATACGTGATACTCGATCCAATAAGGATATGGTTGTTTTAGTGTCAGGTAGTGTGATACTCGATCCAATAAGGATATGGTTGTTTTAGTGTCAGGTAGTGTTTCTGATCACGCTAATAACCTCCTCAAGGTTCACTCTCATTTCCATTTTTCATCAATTTCATTCTATTTTATTTTCTCTTCAGCATTATAAGTCTAATTCGTACTATGGTAATTAATTAGGATTTATGGATTAATTAATTTTATTTGTTAATGTAGGCTGATGTGTGGATAGTTGAGAAAATTAGTTTACTGGAAAATCCTAATCAAGTGTGTCCAAAGAGATTTTGGGGGTGTTTGTACCAAGCTTAAAGTATGAATTGGATGAATCTCAAAAACTCCTTTGACAGAATTTATCTTCAAAAGGGAACATCATGTTGTGATGGTGAAGATGAACCGGGTGAAATCTCAAATCTGTTTTCTATTTCAATTTTATGTACAATAAGTGGATAAAGTAGATAGGAGAGAAGTAATTGCTTTGCATATAGAAGTAATTGTTTGCAAGCTGTTTGAAAAAAGTTACAAAATCAATTTTTTTTTGTTTTTTTTGGTTAGTTTAGATGAGATTTAAACCTCCGCAATTTCAAACGTTTTTATATGTGACCTGTTATGTTAGTTTTCGTTAATGAAAGTTGATAGTAAGGATCAAAATTATAGATGGACAAATTTTCGAGGATCATTATTCAAAGAAAAATTTTAGAGGAATCAAAATTACAGTATCGCATATTTATAAGAACTAAAAACGTATTTAACTCTATATTAAATTATGAATTTAATTTCTATACGCTTTGAGTATAAAAAGTTCTATATCATCACTACATGACAACCATTCAAACTTGGTTGGAAGCAAGGGTTAAATCAAGATTATAGATGGTTGAAAGTAAGTGGCCTGATCATGATTCGTGCGTTGCTTGAATTTGATAAAAGGTCGTTGAATAATAATTTCAATATGATAGAGAATAACAGGATTTGACGGTTCACAAGTATTTGACTTGATTACTTCTTATTTGTTGATTGATAGTGTTTCGATCAAGTATTTAACTTCATTATTTCTCTTCATGTTTGTTGATCGGTGGTGTTTTGAACTTGTTATAAATATGTTAGATTTCAACATTATCTAACGAGATTTTTATAAATATGTAATTTAAGTATGTTATCTTTAAAATGTAGTTTGAAAATCGTATGCATGACAATCCTAAAAAAATTTAGGAAGTAATAAATATCACATTGATAATTTAAAATAAATATACTTTTAGTTTTAATGCATATTTAATACTTATAATTTATTGTTTATCTCACCTTATAATAATTAAAATACACCAATAACTAATAAAAATAATCGATAAAACTATTATCCTCTTTCATTTATCACATTTCTTAATTTATGTGAGAGTATCTATTATAACACTTATTCTAATTATTTTGGGACAAAGGTAGAGTGTCTAAGAAAATTAAAAAACACTTATAAATATTTGGAATTCGTGTACATTTTGAATGTGATTTATATATAGAACATTCGAGAGATTGAAAAATACATAATTTGTTGTGAGGGGGTGGTTTTGGTTGAGACAGTGCCACCGCTACCACATTTTGTTAATAGCCAAAAATACCACTCAAAATAGAGTATGCAATCTAAGCATAAGTTCTCATGTTTCAAACATTTGTGTTATCGCACTATACTTCAAGTTATAGAATTTTGATGGACACTCACTCACGTGATCATTCACCAAGGACAAGATTATTTTAGGAAAGTATTTTTAGACCTCTAATTAGTAAATAATAGACGGTTATTATGTCTTTAGTGGTACTTATTCTAGTATTAAGAGCAACTAATTTATTAATCAATCGTGACAGTCATTGTGTTAGTTGCGTGTTTATGTAAAGAATAAAAGAAAAAAACTTTTCAAAAAAAGAAAGAAAAAGGAAAAAGATAAAGGTTATTGAAGAGTGATTATAGGGTAAGGATTAAGGGCCTTTAACATGCCAATGCACCGTGCTTTTCTCTCTTTCTCACACCTCCAACTTTCTCTCATCTTATTTTTTTCTATTTTTTAATTTAATTTTTTTTTAAAAAGATATTAAAAAATACCTAAAGATACCCAAAGGCACATAGGTCAGAACTAAGCTCTTTAAACTTAGAAGGATAAGCTCTTTAAACTCGGAAGGAACTGTGTCTTTTAATTTTCAGTTCCCTTATTTTGTTATTTGATATAATTATTATTAATCCAGTTTATGTTTGAGAATGAGGAGTTGAAGAATTTGTTAGTGAAAAAGAAACATGAGTTTGCAAAAGAGAAGAGGGATTAGGAGAAGAAATCTAGGATTTTGGATTAAGTTAGAGAAAGCTAAGCTCCATCATCGATGGTGGCAATTCGATACCTAAGCTCCATCAACAAATAACTCCACCATGGCGACCTATGCTATGCTTCCTTAGTTTAGAATAGAAGGGGCACGGGAGGAGAGAAATAAGTTTGGTGTGGAAAGGTACATGATATGTGTGTAAAGCTCATACTTATCACCCACCACCTACAACATATATTTTTGCAAATTCAAAGGATATATATCAACATGGATTCAACTGTTACAAATGCCATTCCAGACTTCAGAGTTGTAAGACCCGTACGGACTGCGAATCACTGAAAGCAAAGGAGCAAGTCCTAAGTGTCAAAGGTTTACTTAGTGAGAACTAACCCTGAAAATTCATTTTATATGAAAGTTTTGATCATTAGTAGTTCAGATCCCTAGTAACCCATTTCAGCATTCACTATTTGGCAAAGTAAACAAACTCGCTTGTGATAAAATGACCGATTGAATTTTAGTTAAATGCACATCTTTCAAATCATACCATTATACCATTGTATTTGTAAAATGAAGTGTCAGATAAATCATAAAACGTTCATCTTATAAGTTGTGATACTAGGGTTGTAACTAGGGAAAATTTTCTATATCTGCCCTGACAGTAAGCATACAAAATGATTAAGCTCTCCCACTTTGCTTTTTAGATCTGGAGTCAGTTGTTGAAACCGCTGATCCAGAGAGCTTGTTAACCTCATAGAGCAATACAGCCGAGAACAGGAAACTGCATTCATGCAACAAACATTGGAAGAACATCAACAATGGTTTCATAAAAAAGAATACCAATTGATACAATTTTATGGTTTTTAAATAATAAAGTATCCACAGATAGCCATCCTGTTACTCTGCTTTCATAAGTCCCTATCTTTAAATGCCAGACTATAACAATGCCAAAATACTCTGCTAGTTAGTTGCTATACTTGGCTATTTTGATTCCATTTTAGATGTGTTATAGGAAACAGAAACATCCTTCTGATTTTCTGCAACTTGCAAGTACAGAATTAGGCTGCAATCTGCAATTTACGAAAGTTTTAGGTCGTCTATTACTTTATTTACCTAAAAGCACATGATATCATGATGTTGCCACTTGCCAGTTCTTCTTTTACAATGTAATTCACTATTGGTTACATCACAAAGCAAATCGAGAATTCAATGTTAATATATAAGAGCTTATGAAGGTAAAGGGATAAAAATCTACAATCATTTATTTTATTATATGTCGAGGATTTTATTATATGTCGAGGGGGGTGATACATGAATGCTAGAATCAATAAGAACATGTTCCTAAGGATAACCAACCCAAATACATGTATTTTACTGAAGATGTCAAATATCAAACTTCACCATTTCTATTATAAGCTGATTGTCATATATTTGGTATCACAGTGAGTCTGTCATAATCTTGATGAGCCACCGTGATTTTGCAAAAGAAGGTAATTCAATAAAAAGAAGTTGGTATCACAAGCTATTTTACAATAAAAGAAGGTATGATGTATGCTTTAATATATAAAAAATGCATCATTTCATTATAAGTTGATGGTGATTTATAAAACAGTCATTGAGAAGGCTTGACTAGAATATCCCACTTAATTAATCGTCACTTTGCACCATTTTATACCAGAGGGAGATTGGCATTTAATGAGTTTCTTAATTCTCCTTCACTATTTCTTTTTCTTTTTTTTGAAAGAAATACTTCATATACTACACTTCCTAGTGAGTTTTTTTTCTTATTGTTCATTAGTAAGTGAGAGAGAGGGGTATTGCAGGGAGCATACCATGTAGTGGTGCATACTCGGTGAACCGTGCTTGCAGCAATCAAAGCAACTAATTCTGCTACTATGACTGCAAAATAGAGACACTGTTTTAAATTTTTGAATATATAGAACACAACTGAAAGCTCAGGCATGCATGACTTATGCAGTGACACCAGAAGGAGCAAAAGAATTGAATACCCTGTGGCCATCCCATATTTCATGCAATTCTCAAGTATAAAACTGTAGATGTTTAGCAAAGCACCACTTAGTATTCATTCTATTTCTGGAATTTTGAATTTGATTAATGTAAAATTTAACTATTAGACATCAACATTCATTATCGTGTACTTACCAGCACCCCAGCCAGTTTTTGCACCGGCTGATTCCTGAAAATTTCCAATGAACTGCAACCAAAATGTTACATAAGTGTGATTAACTTAAATCAACTTGAAATATTTTGCTTGAATAGATATCCTGGAAGTAATATAAGTGACAGAAGATAATCTAAGGCAGATTATATGGATAAAAGTAGCATTCACATATAACTTGTTAGCATGGGCTACAACACTCCGCTTAGCACTAATATGTGAGTAAAAGATCCATTGTACTAAGTAGGACTATATCAATGATTTATAGAGATCCGGGTAGAGGCCATAAGTGAAAAAGGGTATTATGTAATGAGCGGGGTAGTAGGATGCTTAGTTGGCAAGTTGTTATGTCTTTGTCGTATAAATAATAAGATGAGGGAATTGTGTGGGTTATGCAAGACTATTGAGTGAACCATTATGGTTAGGCAAAGAGAGAGTTCTCCAAATCTAGGGTAGATTGTGACTCATTCCCTTATACATATTTTCTTTCATCAACTACTGAATACACATACTATTACTATATTCTACTGTTTAATCTCTTTCTTTACTTAATTTTGGATAACTTAATTTCCAGGTCACCATGAGTGACCAAGGAACCAATATATACGAAGATCAAGCTATGGACTATGAAGTGATAAAAGTAGTAATTTTCCCAGTCTTCTAACTTCAATTAACAAAATGGGAAATGGAACTTCCTATTAGGAACTGGAAAGAATTATGCAGTACACATTTTGATATTGTCCTTATAGAAGTAATAGAAAGGAGCAAGTGATAGATATTTTTCATTTCAAATGTCAAAAAAACATTTTTTCATGCCTTCTAAGAAATGATCTGATTACTCTAGAAAAAAAAAAAAGAATCATAAGCAAACTATAAATAAAACTGAAAAAAAAAAAGAAAATGCTCATGCAAGATTTCATTGTTACTCATGCAAAATAATATGATTTCAGAACTCACAGTTAGGAGCACAAGAAATAGCAGAGAGCTGGTGAACCCTCCAAGTATTGTGTACAGTTCCGACGACGCAAGTTTCCCACGGTACATTTCTTGAAGCGAGAGAATAACAATGAATAAAAGAAAGGAATACGTCATGGAACTCCCAGACCCTGCCATGGCCTTCTTATAGCATGCACAACAATAGCAAACAAAGAAACAATTGTGAGAAGAGACATTGATAAATCAAAACACAAACACCAGATTTCACTCACAAGCATCCCAAAGCAACAAATAAAAATCAACAACTAAACCTAATGAATCTAATAATGTTAGTAATACACATAGATCTGAAGTTCTCAAATGTAAATTAACTGAAAAAAATAACCCCTAATTACAAGCTACGAGATCAAAATTCCATCAAATCGAAAGAGCAATTCATCGTCCAAGTAAAAACAAAAGCATCAACGAAATCAAGATCCATTCATTTCGTGTGATTCCCTTGGAATCGAATCTCGCATTTTCTCAGCAAAAGAAACAGAAGAAAAAGTAGTATCCATACCTCACTAAGATCAAGAAGATGCAGTTGAACTTTCAGCTCAGATCTAACTGCCACACGCGATCGCAGTGTTTTAATATATACGAGGGTTAATCTCGGTATTTAATATAATCAAAGGACAAAACCGTCTAATCACTGAAATTTCTTATGCCAGTGAAACGACGCCGGGTAAACCGTTGTGGTCTCTATCGGCTGCGTTTGGATGGAGGAGTTGCCGGAGCTGCCGGAGTGTCCGGTTTGTCTTCAAAACTACGACGGCGAAAACGCGATTCCTCGAGTACTATCATGCGGCCACACCGTTTGTGAAGCTTGTCTTGTGGAGCTTCAGGAGCGGTTTCCGAACACTATTCGTTGCCCTGCGTGTACTCAACTCGTTAAATACTCTCACAATCAAGGTCCGTCTTCTCTTCCTAAAAATATTGACCTTCTTAGAATCTGCCTCGAACAACACTCTTCATCTAAACATCAGAAATCGAATCAGAAATCAAATCATGAACGGTATTTGATCAATTATGGATATTCCTCTCGGTTTTGGTCTGATGAGTTTTATGCCGCTTGGAAGGATTGGATTCTTCCGAACGATGTCGTTTCGGTTGACGAGAATGGTTTTGGTAGGTTTAGTTCAGGTTCTAAAGGTAGGGTTTGCTTCGGAGTTAATAGAACTGTGAGTCTCGTTCCTGTTGTTAGTTTGGTTCTGGTTAGTGATTTGAAGTTTAAGTTTAGTTATGTTGCTTGGGTTATTAAGTGCTTGGAGGGGATGAATGAGGTTGTGAGGGAGGGGTTGGGTTTGATTCTAGAAGGTTCTGTGAGGCAGGGTAGGCTTTGTAGGGTTTATGGGTTATGGAGTGAGGTTGTTGGTGGTAGTTTGTATCTGGTGTGTGAGAGGCACAGTGGTAGGTTTTTGGATGAGTATGGTGGATTGAGAAGTGTGAATGGGGATGGTTTGGGATTGGATAAAGGCGGGGTTTGTCATTTTGCGACGATTGCGAAGAGTATTGTTGAAGGTGTCATTGCTTTGAATTTGGAAGGTTTGGTTGCTGGATTTTTGGGACTTGAATGCTTCTCTTTTGATGAGCTTGGTGGTGTTTGTATTGATTTGAATGAGGTGTTGGTGATGGGAAGGAAGATTGTGGATCGGGTTTCTGGTGGCGCGGGTGATGATCACGAAGCCATGTGTAGGGATTGTTTGAACAATGAGCTTTTTGTTAGCCCGGAGGTTTTGTCTATGTTATTGCACGAGGAGATTGTCAACCCTGAGAGTGGGGATTTGAGATATCCAATTGGGTATGGCTCAGATGTGTGGTCGTTGGCTTGTGTGTTGCTGCAGCTTCTTTTGAGAAATGCGCTCCCTCGGATTACTTTGCAAATGAGTGCAGAGAATGGTATTGATGTCTCGGCTAGTTACATTTCTTGGGTAGAGAAAGTTTATTCTGTTTTGGAAGAAAAAATTGGTTCTGAAAACCTATCACTTAAACAGACTCTTTGCAAATGTTTGGACATCAATCCTGGAAACCGTCCAGATGTAATGGATGTAAGGAAATGCATTCAAGATGTGCTAGTCAAACATCAATTTGGCTTTTTGGGAGATACAGAGGTCGCAGTAAATAGGAACAACACGGGTCACCCTGTGATTCTTGCTAAGTTGTGTCAGTTGCTTCATGAAAGTTCTAAGGAGCCGAGAGATCATGAGTTGCTGGTGAAAGTAAATGGCGGTCAACCTGAGTTCCTTCAAGGTGCGGAAAATATATCTGACGAAGACTTCGCTGCTAGCTTATCTCAGGGAATGACTGAGCTTAAAGATCTGCAAGGCCATCTTGGTTCTATCACTGGTTTAGCTGTAGGAGGTATGAATTCCAAGTTTATATTCAGACACTGCAATCACTATCGGTCATATTTCATGATATAAATTTTTGCATGTCTGGAAGACAAGATACTTTAACACTATTTTTGAGATATAAAGTAAATTATATTTCCATTTTGTTATCAAAGAGGTGAAGTAGGCCGCGTAAGGCCTTCAGTCATGTGATTAATAGGTTATCTGATATTTGACATTTGCCATGGATTTGGGTGGCATATGAAGATGAGGCTTTTGAGTTAATTCAGTCACGGTTTCTAATACCATCCACGCCTTTCCTTAACATATTGTTACTAATGTGCAATTTGGTGTGGCACGTTTTAATGCAACCTATATGCTAGGCTCTTAATTAGCTTATGTGTTGATGTTGCTTCGCCTATTTTAACGAAAGTGTTACACTTGTGGAGTTATGATTTGTTAGTATATGTGGTGATCATGCAATGGAGATTATATTTCATTTTAACAATCATTTGTTTAGCTTCACAGGGGGATATTTGTTTAGCTCCTCTTTTGATAAAACTGTCCGTGTATGGTCCTTGCAGGTAACACTTTTAAATCACAATTACCTAATAACATTCTGTTTGGCTTTCCAAATAGCATAATCTCATTATTCATTAATAATCTTTGCATGAGGATTTCATCATTAGTTTTTCAATAAATGTAATGAAATTAGAATTCAGGTGTTTTTTCCCCTAAGTGACACCAGTAAGCAAATACCTTTCAGAAAATGCTAATAACACACTCCTTTTAGGACACTTTCCTATTGGATGAAATTCATGTGGGTTCTACAAAGTTTTATTGAGTTCTGTGTAATTTGGTGGGACCCATTTCCAAAATAGTGGGATCCACTTTATTTCAATCAACCGGAAAGCGTTTGTTTAAAAGAGAGTGTGTTGTTAGCACTTCTTATATACAAATAAATAAAAGGAAGTATAGAAAAATAGAAGGACGGGATAATTTCACATTTCCATTTGTGATATTCATCATGCTTCCCTTTTCCTTTTGCTACCGAGAAGTATGGGTTATTCTGTTGACGAGTTTCATCGATGCATATGTTATGTAGGACTTTTCTCATGTACATACATTTAGAGGTCATGAAAATAAAGTTATGGCTCTAGTTTATGTTGATGGCGAAGAATCATTGTGTATAAGTGGTGACGGTGGTGGGGGCATATTTTTGTGGGATATTGCTGCATCTCTTAGGCAAGAACCCTTGAGGAAGTGGTATGAGCCAAAGGATTGGCGCTTTAGTGGTATCCATTCGATGACTACTTTCGGAAGTCTTCTCTACACTGGAAGTGGAGATAGAACAATAAAAGCTTGGTCAATAAAGGTAGTATCATTTTCATTGTATACACATGTTGCAGCCTTAGACAAAAGCTTCATTGCAAAGTGCATTCTTTGGGTTGTTATACTTGCTGCATTTTCCAGGATGGAACTTTGATGTGCACAATGAATGGCCACAAATCTGTAGTTTCCACACTTTCAGTATGTGATGATGTTCTTTACAGTGGTAGTTGGGATGGAACTATCCGATTGTGGAGTCTTAATGATCACAGCCCTTTGGCGATACTAGGGGAAGATTTGCCTGGAGAGAAGAAGTCTATCCTGGCTATTACTGTCAGTAGGAATTTGCTGGTTGCCGCATACGAGAATGGATGCATAAAGGTTTCTTTCTTTTCTAAAACTGTGTTCCTTCCCATTAAAAGATTTATATTAAATATACACTTCATCTCATATCATCTCCTGGCAATGTTGGATAACATCTCTTTTATTTTTTTGCTTGTTTAGGTCTGGAGTAACGACGTGCTCATGACTTCTAAAACATTGCATAGTGGTGCAATTTTTGCGATGAGTATGCAGGGAAAATGTCTCTATACAGGAGGTTGGGATACAAATGTTAATATACAGGTAGAAATGCAAAATCTTGTGCTATGGTTTTGGGAATTACATGGACATGTTTAGTGAAGTCAGCTTGCTATGTTAATCATTTATATTTATGAAAACTCAATTGTGATTGTTGAAATTATAGGGTTTTTACATTAACTGGGAAGCGATAGTTACAGGATAAGTTATAGGGTAAGTTATAGGGTTTTACATTTACCATGTTCACAACCATGTTCTTAAGAGATAGTCTGAGATGCTCTGATAAAAAAAAAACTAATCCTGTGAGATAACCTATACTCTAAGATGATTTCAAAATATTATGAGATACTTTCATGTTGTCTAAGACTACGCCTAAAGCTTTAGTAAACTAACAGATGTACACCTTGAAATCGAAAAATAACCAAGTAACATGTTTTTTATCTTAAGATCGGCAAGGCTAAACGACATCTGGAACATGAATCAATACTAAATTGCAGGCAAGACAAAAAATGGGGCCATACTGCCAAAATGAGACGATGTAGATGAGATTCTGGACAATTGGAAAGATGACAACACAACAGATGAGAACCTTGTAACACAAGCATAGAGAAAACTTGATATAGAAGAAAAAAGACATGAATATGTGTACAACTGGCAAGAAAAATTGAGTTTCAAATTTTAGTAGTTTCAGATTTCAGGGAAGTTGGTAGCAGAATAGTGACACGACCTATCAGGGCGGATGGTACCGCCCCGTGTTGTAGTTATCAGGTTTTACATAAATAGGAAAGAAAAAGAATAAAGCTTTTAAATCAAGAATATGGTTTGATATGATTGATGATTTGATACAAAAAGACTAAACACTAACTCTAATTTACAGTAATCTTAATACATAGAGAAACA